GCCCCAGCCCCAGGTATATGTTCAGAAACAGAAAAGCAAAAAATTAGTGTGTGCTTTTGCTAAAAGCTGCTTTCAACAAGATACTTCTACCCTAATGATAATTTGTAGGTTAAAAATGCCCTAAATTACTGGATTAGAATTGTAGTCTCAAAGTTCCATTATTAGCATTTTTATGCAAATGAGATTGGCTTGTCATTTTTTGAGACTACGTAAATGTTACTCCAAAAGAAGTTGCTCACATTCAGTTTAGTAGCTTGATTTTGAAGTCTGTTTATAGATTAACTATTAAACGGTGATAAAGTTACCTTGCTACTGTGAAAAGAAAAGCTTAAATAGTTTAAGTTTTGCACTAGCATTGGAGTCCCTGGGTAGGCCAAATAGTTGGTGCTTTAATGCTACCTATAAGGTGAACCCACCTAGATGTCCCTAAGAAGACAAACCTGGAGCTAAGCTTCTGCACGTCACAGCAGGGAAGCCCTGGAGAGCACAGTTCTCAGCACATGTGGGGTCTCCATGAATCAGAATCTGCTGGGGGGAGGGGGGGCAAGCAGCCACACACACATTTCTTACTCAAGTAGCACATCTGCCATTTATTCAGGGAAGATATCTGTATACTCAATGTTTGTTCTCAATTGAGCTAATTATTTTTCTCAATTATTTGAAACCAATTCACATGCACAAGCACATTGAAGTCAGTTTCCATTTTACTTTACCTCCTTTGATAATTGCTCAGAGCAGTGTGTTTACATCTGGTGAGTAAGGAAACTGGAGGATTTCCAAGGCTGTGACCCTTCACACTCTTATTAAGACATTTTTCAGACAATTAGATTTATTCTCTTTTGGTGTACAATTCATTAACTGGGTAATTTTTAAGGTGAATTTTAAAATGATGTGTTGACGAACCATTTCAATTTGGAGCAAATTTTTATTTAATGTGTCAATTTTAAAAGTTCTAATAATATAAAGTTTTAAGTTAGGATTTATATTTGTCTTTATTTTCCATGTAGAGTATTTCATATCCTTTAAAACGCCCATCTTCCATATTTCTGTTTGCCAAAAGATAGTCCAAGCAATTTGGACTACTTCTTAACTCCGAAAATTTTAAAGGTGTTTTTGTGAGTACACAGTCTAGAGAATGGTGGTGGGGGGGGACACTGAGAGTTGGTTCTAAATGAGGAAAGAGGAAAAAAATGATATTAAGTGTAGGCTAGCAGGAGGAGACTATCTCTTAAGATAAAAAAGTTCAAGGAAAAAAATTCCATTATCTTTTAATTCCATTTTTCTCACTAACTTGTTGAAACTACCTTATATGTGAAAATAGATTTAGTAACTAAACTTATTGATGAAAATTTGTAAGGACATTAGCCTTTTAATAAGGATGCCAGTACATCAAAACTTCGACTAGCCTATGTTGCTAATCATAAAAAAAAACTCTTATAGCTGTGATTCATGTATGGATTTCTTTTTTAATGGAAAACTTAGTTTTTGAATCCTCTCATTGAAAATTAGTATGAGTCAATTATAAACCTATGCCCCTTTCACAATAAAAAGTTAAAACAAAAAGAAAATAGTGTGCAGTGGCCAGGGTATTTGCCTTCTTTACCTTCAGGTTGATTATAATGCATAATTGATCTTTCAATCATAAGTACCAGGGCGTAAGAATAACATTTAAGGATAAACCCTGGGTTTAACAAGAGTTTGTTTTCTTTTGGTGGCGTCAGTGTATTTCAGATTATTTTATACCAAATCTGGAAATTTACTTGATTTGAGTTGATAGAACCATTTGTATTTAAAGCAAAGAACTATTTCCAAGTATATAAATTAACCCCATTTTAAAAGCTTGAGAAAATATTGCATAATACTGTGTGTTTAATTTTGATTGTGATATTTAGTTTCTTACAATATCAGGCTAATCCATATTAAGAGAATTATTGTGAGACTCACAAAAGATAGACGCTTGAGGGCAACAGGTAAAAGGTTAAATACTTCAGTGGTTATGACTTGGGCTGCTAGCCACAGGTCAGCAGTTCAAACCCACCCACCACTCACTCCTAGGGAGGAAGATGAGGTCTTCTGCTCCCAGAAAAGACTTACAGCCTCGGCAGCCCTAGGGAGGAGAGTTCTCTCCTGTCTGCATGGCCGTCGATAGGAGCTTGACTGGACTAGACGGTGGTGGTTTGGGTTTGGGGTTACAGAATTTAAAGGAGCCTTGATGGCACAATAGTTGAGCACTCACTGAAAAGTTGGCCCTTCCAACCCATACAGAGATCAGTGGGAGAAAGAACTGGTGATCTGTCTTGTAAGGATTACAGCCTAGAAAACCCTATGGGGCTGCTGAGTCTGTCACTTGAGGTCACCCTGAGTTAAAATGGACTCGATGCACCCACTAACAGCAAAACACTGAAAGGAAATCTCGGCAAAGTGTTCTTCAAGCAAATTGACGGAGTACAAAGCGATGGCAGTAAGAACTCTTTCTCCTAGTTCTTTGGAGTGAGTAGCTTTCACACCTCCTCTGATTTGAACCAGTCCACCTGCTCCCAGCCAGGATTTGTAGTTTAATCAAGTTGGTAGCCCAGGATGTCAGAAAGAGCCTTGGATAGAGAATGGAAGGCCTATTTTTCCTAATAATTTGATTTGAACTCTGCCTTGAGTTATTGCGTCACTTGTCCCAGGTGTTACCAGTGTCAGGATTCTGTGGTTTGAAATTGGATTGGCATTGGAGATTAAACATTGTTTTAAGTAATTTGCAGTTGAGTATTGAAGAAAACCACTAAATACTCATTTTCAAAATACTATATATACTCGAGTATAAGCCAACTCGAATATCAGCTGAGGCACCTAATTTTACCACAGAAACTGCATAAAAATGTGCTGAAAAACTCGGCTTATATACGAGTATATACATACACTTTAGAAGACACTCTGCAAACCCATTCCCTAGATGCTTTTAAAATGAAAGTTTATGCTGGCCATCTTGAGAGCGGTGCTTGTGAACATTTTCCAAGTGAGGAATTTGAAGTGCATACTGTCCACTGATTAAAGAAAGTAAATGCGGACCACAGAGCTTAGTGCCTTTTGATAGGGTTAATGTATGTAAGTAGTTTGCCTCTCGTTTGAGGTTTTTTTCTGACAGATACCATGGAAAGCATAGTGTAGGTGATTGGAGAACTGTGAACTCCGTTCTTGTTTTGGTAGGACAAGCGATTGGGCTTGGTAATGCTCCCTACACCATTTACATCCAGGAGAGGGTTCCTCTGTACACAGATGGCAGTGGTGGAGTTTGAAACCACAGATCTTTATCAAGTGTCATTAAAGTGAATTATGAATAATTATGGGGTAAATTTTGCATCTGATATTAAAATACTGAATCACAATTACACATTTGGGTCTGTTTAATTATAACATCATAGGTTAAAATACATGCAGGGTTAGTAC